AGTGGAACCTCACAGAGGAGATGATTGATTGCCAATTTTTTGGCTGCTTGATTTTGGAAAACAAATTAATGAAAGTGAACTTATCTGGACAGAGAATTCTGGAGCACTTTGTTCCATACAGATCTGATGTTATAATCTCCTATGTCCCACCCGCCCTGAAGAAGCCAGGATGCGAGCACCTTCTCAAGTGAGAGAACTGAAAACTATTTTTTCCAGGGTTAGTTTTCAGCCAGATCTATAGCTCTTGGCTAAGGGAAATGCAACCACTGGTGCAGAACTAAGGAGGTTGCAAGAACAATGTGCAGGGCATAGAAAAACACATTAACACTTTAGGTGGAGGTACAATATTGTACTGGATTAAGCAGATTACAAAATAGCATTTTAATTAATACCGTCTCTAAAGATGGCTTATATATTTGTTTAATATCTGAAGATTGGTCAGGACCTGACTAGAGAGGAAGTGACCTCTGGACAATTTGTTATCTTAAATCCTTACGTTTCTTTTAGTGCATAAACTTACTCTAGAGTGTTAACAGACTTTCAGACATAATGTTAGCATTTAATAAATAGCTATATGCTATATGGTTAATATACTTCTATATTATAGCAAAACATTAACACTAAGACTCTCTTGATTACATTTCACTAGAAACTGTTCCTGTTATGTGCCCTGGGCTCTTTGCACCTTAGACTACCAATGAACTTTTGAATCCTATCACCATTCTTTATTGCTCAGAATAAGAAAAAAAATTATGGACCTGTAGGTGCTATCATCCTTCAGAAGTTGATGACCCTGAAAGTTACACACTGCAATATGTTAAGAAGTTTTCTTAAAGTGATACTCTTCCTGAAGTGAGAACTTTGGAAGACCAGTGAAAGCTGGTTTTGACTTGTCTCGAGGCTTCCAAATGTATAGTTGTTTACCATGTAAAACCTGTTTTGTAAGACGAAAGTCATGTACAAACCATACAAATCATATACAAAAGAGGTAAACAAATTTCTGTTGAACCATTATCTTGCATTTTCTCTCTTCCAAAAGAAAGAAAAGTCTCTAAGAAACTTGCTTCATATTTCCATAAGCCAAAAGACAGAAGATGCTGAATAGTAAGAACTATTCTATCAAAATCACTGGCTCATCTAACAAGTTTCCTAATTACTTACTCAACTACTTAACAGAAGTGTGAATGGGGAAAAGTGTTGCTTCTTGTAAAGGCTGGTGATAAAGAGGTATCCAAAAGTCTGCAGAGACATTAAACGTTGTTCAAGCTACGCTTACCATAAAGAACTGCACCACATATACAATGGCAATATCGTTTTCTCATTGGTTTTCCTATTTTCTATAAAAAAGGTGCTCTTTTTGCTGTTCAGTCAACTGAAGCTTGAAGACACCCTGAATGACCAGGCATATTTTCTGCAAGAAATAAGGGACTCTTGGATGATACACCAGATTCCAGTGACAATCTGGCACCAAGAACCAATTAGCAGCCTAGGAAGACTTCAGACACCATGACTTGTAAAGCAGGCAGTCAGGATGTATATCAAAACATGCACATTGAAACTGCTCTTGGTTGCCAGAGGCAAGATCAGCTCTAAGTTAATGCTCAAACCCGGACAGAGATACTTTAATCTTTCTGCCAAACAGCGCTGAAATGGGCACAACCTGCTGCCTTTGACCGGGAGGGAAATGAGCTTGGAATTGCTCTGCTTCTGATAAAATTCTTATCGACTTCAATAGTGCCGTTACATGTTCCCATTATTATGCTTCCACAATGACTATCCAAAGCACTAAGGCTGTGACACCTTCCTTCAAGCACATCCAGCAAGACCAAGGAAGCTCAGGGATAGTCACTTCCTAAGGGCTGCCCCAGGCAAATGTCCACATGAACCTGTGAGGTGGAAGCTTCAAAGGACTCTCCTGGTCCTGAGGAAGCTGAAGCTCATGATCCTCTCAAGCATAGCTCTCAGCTTCTTTAGGAGACAAGTCCATATTCATCCCCTGTAACTTACAGAGCCTGTTAAGGGCAGCTCTGTTGCAGCCATCACCACTGAACAGCTATAGGGTCTATGAAGCTGCATCAGCGTGTGCCAGCAGCCCAGCACACAAGGGCAGAGGCTCCTAAACTCACAAAGAAACACAGATCACAAGCAACTGAGGGACAGCAGCAAGGAGAAGCGAAAAACGCTTCGGCCTCCTCCTCTCCCCTCCCCTAGCCAGCACGCTCTTGCCTGGGGAGTGGAAGGGGGCACAGGGCTTCCATAACCCCCCCACCAGCACTGCCAGTGTGCAAAGCCAGGCTTGCCAAGGTGCTGCCCAGATGACTTCAGTCCTCATGGCATGAAGGAGTCCCTGCCAGAGAGGAACAGATGTGCAATGAACAGGCCACAGGAATGGGGGCTATGAGGCATGGCAAGAGGCTGGGGAGAGACAGGCAATAAGAACTTCATAAGGAATTTTAATCAAGCAGCTCTTAAGTATTTGAGTTTAGACACGTGTTGTTTGGTGTAGCACAAGAGTGCTTTAAATGCCTACACTTGGTTGGCTTTGTGTAAGCAACACCACACTCACAGATTCATTTTACACTTTTACTCCTCAGTTATAAGTTCATCTTGCAGTATGCAACACTTGCTCACATGCACTTTCACCCAAATACACACATAATCAATCACCTGTCCGGCTGCATCACCCTCGCTGGGGGCTTAGCTTGCAGTTGTAAGCACCACTAAGAATAGAGTACAGTATGTTTCCTTGAGAGCATGTGTGTGCTGATTCTCTGTCATTTGTTTGCCTACCCCAAAGGCTACTGAGATAGCCTGTCTTTGATCCTGAAAACCCTCCATGTTTTCATTTAGCCTTAACAATTATACACTTATCTTAAACAGGAAAAGGGAAACTTTAAATGCAGGGTTGGCTAAAACTCATCTACCAGCCAGCTTTCTATTGCATATTTTATGGCTTTTATTGTCTAGAAAACTGAGGAAAACTAACCCTTCACATGGAGTACCCTAACAGAGAAACAGAACAAAGCTAACAAAAAACGGAGGAAGAAAGGCAATTTTAGGCTCAGTTTCACGTGACAGTTCCAGCTGACCCAACAAGTCACTGCTGCCAGAATGAGAGATCTCGCTTCTTCTCTACCACCTCCTCTTCTTGCTCCCAGCTCTGCATTCCCACCACCTATCTTCCGTGGGTTACAGCAGTCAGCAGAGCAGAAAACTCACCCACCCACTGAATCACTGCATGGGATCTTCTCCCAAGAAGTACAAAAAGTACAGGAGTAGACACAAGGGAGGAGAGGGATCACACAGCCAGGAGTGTGGAACAGGAAAAGGGTTAGGGGGAGAGCAGATCTCCTTGATCAGCAGTAGCTAGACATTATGCAGGCTGAGTTGTTAATGAAACCAGAGTTCAAGAAGCTCTAGGTCACTTCCTACAGAGTTGCAAAGGAATGTCCATAGGTAAGTTCACAGGATGGGGAATAACAGTTGGACTTGATGACCTTAAAGGTCTTTTCCAACCTAGTTGAGTCTATGGTTCTGTAACTATTTTCTATCTGTAGACTATCCTGCCCCAAAATAGCACTGTGTTTCATTACCTTAATGACAAAGATGACAAATGTCATCCCTGATTGTGACGCTGATGAGCTGATACTAGGAATTAGATTTGTTGAAGTTTCCTCAGTCTTCTCCATAGGGAAAGACTGCAAAGCTTTTACATTCAACTACGAGGTAAACAGAAAGGTTAATACAACCTTAATAGAAATTTTGTATTAGCCTTGAATCTTCAGCTTCCAGTGTGGTAAATTAGGAACAGCAGGGTTCTTACTAGGCACTTGGATGAACAGCTCTGGCTAAGCCCACCACACAGAGCCTGCTTGCCAGTGCACCCCAAGTTTCACTTCAGGCTACTCTGAAGAGGAATTTCAAGCTTGGAGCAGACACTGGTGTGTACTGGAGCCAGGCCATTAAACCAGTGTTTACTCCCCAAACAGAAGTCCTGGCGTGCATCACAAGGTGTTAGTGCTCCTTACCTCATGGATAAGACAGTGTGTGTACTAGCAGCAGTGACAGCACTTTCCAAACCAAGCATAATTTCTATCATTTTCAGTGTTTGTCTGCCATTTGAACATAAAGGTCAAAGAACACGCAAAAACTACTGAGAAAGTATTTTTACACTGTCTTTCTAGTTACATGTATAGCACACAATACTAGTAAGTCTTTTCTTCCTGAATCACAGGATGTTCCATCAACAGACTGAAAGCCTTAAGATTTCTTTTTCTCCCCTGTGGTGTACGGGTGCAGATGGCACACTAAATACATCACTGAAACTAAAAATTAACTGAGTCAGGCATTTTTGTGAAAGGTTTCTGCGCTGCGCACATCTCCAGTCACACACACTGTTAATTACTGCTGGCACTGACAGTGGGGATCCCCGTCCATCTGCTGGGACCAGCTGAAACAAAACAAACCGAAGCCCTGGGGAGAAGATGAACCTCTGCAAGGGCATTGCCCGCACGGCTGCGGGCCGGGCAGCTTCCCCGCACTCCGCTCCTTCTTCGCTGTAGTGTTCAAAGACTTCATTGATGATGGTTTCTCTGGGGAGGGGAGGGGGGGGGGTGTCATCTTTAAAGATGCAACTCTCCTTCTGCAGCGCTTGATGTCTTTAGGGCTGCAGCAGCCTCTCCCCTGGACGCCTCTCGCCCCAGGCAGGGGAGCGAAGGTGCCCGGGGTAGAGGACCCCCGAGGCGCTCACTTAACTGGCCGGGCTCGCAGCGCCGGCTGCCACCTCCCCTCTTCCTCCTCCTTTTCCTCCTCCCCCTCCTCGCTGCGGAAAGCGGGTCCGGAGAGCGGGGACGCTCTGGAAGCAGGGCAGGTGCTCCGGTGCAAGGGAAGCCGGAGGGGACAGACCCTCACCCTCCGCCCGCAGCTCCCCCTCCCGCTTTCACGGGGGCTGCTGCCGAGCCCCGCGTTCCCCGCCAAAGAGAGGGGCAGGCACCGCTTACCGGAGCTGCTCGCCGGTGAGCAGGACCTCGGCCATGTGCTCCAGCTCCGCCGCTTTCTGCTGCATGCTGCTCATGCCCTCCTCCATCGCCGCCGGCCTGCGAGCACAGCACCGCGGGTGAGGGGGGCCGGGACCCGCTGCCCCCCGCGCTGGCACCTCCCGCCCGGCCCCGGCGGCTATAGAGCTTGTGGCCGGGTCTGGGGGTGCCTCCTCCGCTGCTCCGCTCACCTGAGCGGGGCAGGTCACTTTTCCCCTCGGCAGGCTCGGATCCCCCCCGCGCCGCTTCCCGTGTTATTGTGTCACGGGCAGGCGGAGAAACACATGGCTGCAGCCGCCGCAGCCGCAGCCGGGCTCCCCGAGGCAGCAGCGTCCCCCCCCGGCTGTCACACGGCAGGGTTGGCGCTGCCGCCCCCCGCGGGAAGGGGCCGGCTCCCCGCCGGGAGCTGAGGGCCAGGGGCTGCCGCCGCCTGGGCTCCCGCCGCTCCCTGGGCCGGGCAGAGAGCAGGAGGCGGCCGCGGAGCTCAGCGCTCCCCTCCCGCAGTGCCAGGCGGAGCGGGGAAAGGTGCGCTCGGGAGCGAGGGGCCGGCCCCGTTGGTGAGCGCTGCCGGGTCTGGAGGGATGCGGCTGCTACAGCGCCCGCTCAGCGGTGCGCGCCGCGCCTTGCCAGGTAGCGTTAGCGATACGAGGGGCACGGAGGGAGCTCTTGGTCCGGATTGCCCCTTCAGAAATTGCGGTTGCCCTCCCGCTGTCCGGGTTTCCTCTCGCCCGTTACCCAGGGGGTATTTTCAAGCATCGGTCCCCTGCCCATCTCACCTCTTTGTCTCCAGGTGACAGCGGATGCAGAAAACTTGAGGGCTGGGGAACATTTGGTCTTGTCAATGGGAAGTAAATTGCAAGGTCATGAGCACTGGTTGTCAACATTCTTCATGGGGAAATAAACCCAGCCTTTTTTTAAAAAGTCCAGGGGGCACCTTCTGCAGTGGTCCAACAATGGTTTTCATTTACAGACACGTGCAAAAAGATACACCTTAATTGCCTACTCATTGCCTTTATTTCTGCCTGCACATATTCTGTGGACATGGAACTTGCTATGTTTAACTGTTTGCAATATTGGCATCCTTTCAGGACCAAGATTCTAGTTGCAGAAGGAACAGAACTAAGAGGGAACTAAGCGGGCCGGGAAGCAACCAGGCTGCAGACAATGGGAAGAAGGAGATTCTTTTCATGGCCCATAGTAGACCTGTGGTATTTAGTACCACAGGAGGTTTTGGGTGTTAAAGAATAGCCTTGGAGTCAAGGGAAAAATGGACAAATATATGGAAAATAAATCTGCAGAGGATTACTAAGCAGACAGCAGCCACATCCAGCTCAGGAAATTCTCTGTTCTAAAAATAATTGGAAGCTAGGCAAGCAGTTGCAAGAAGTTTCATATACGCTTTCCTTGCTGTTCACTAAGAATCTCTTTATAGCCACTGAGATGAATATTGGACTAGATGGACCTTTGGTTCAACCCAGGACAGGCATTCTGAGGAGAATCTCTTCAGGTCTCAAAGAGCACTAGAGATACATGGATGGCAAAGGGAGAAAAACTGCCTTCATTTCAGTCATGGGAGAGGCCAGGGAGAGAGACGCCTTAGGACTGTAAACAGGACAGCCTGAGATTGCTTGCTGTAAATCTAAAACTAAATCTGACAACTTGCAAACACCCTCTAATTCCACTTACACTGCAAACATACAACGTACAGATTCACAAAGCTGGAAACAAAAGGGGAATTGAAAGAACCATCTCATCTGACCTTATCTTTAGGACAAAGAATTTACACAGGCATTTTTATCAAGCACTTTGTCACATGACTGAAGGAAAGACAATTTCAAGAGAATGTTACTGTGCACTGTAGACCATTTCTGGGTAAGCTCTTGGATACATCACATGGGTTTGGCTGATTCAGCCATTTATCACTGCTAAAAGGAGATACACCATTCCTATCAGCTCCGGGAGCACAATCTGCAATGTGTCTTGTGCTGGTTTTCCCAGTTTTAGGACCTCTGCTTACTGCAGTTAAATTCACTGAACAGGAAGAAGAGTAGAAAGTGGAGAGTTTCCTCTGGGCTAGTAAGCAGAGCTGTGCTGATGGCTGTGGGGTCCAATGAGAGCCAGAACTGGCACTGAGGTGGAGTGGGCCTTAGCAGCTTGGAGCAGGAATAACAAAGGAGGAAGAGGGAGAGGAAAAGGGGAAGAAGCGGTCTTTGGGCAGTGACAAGCTATTGGCTTGACCCAGAGTTCTTATGGAACTGCAGAAATGCCTATCTTTCCTTGCATATCTTGCAATTTGGAAAATGCAGGGCAGTGCAATTTCCTGTACTGAATTGTTTAATGGTTATACATGGCTATGTTTCCCTTTGTGCACTGATATCCCCCTTTGTAATTTGTTCCACATGTTCACACTGAAATTTCTTACAGTTACAGTGTGCCTAAGAGGAGGGAATTGGGTATCAGTCACTCCAAGCCTGCTCTCACCTTAAACCAGTTAATTAACATAACCCCAAAGTGTCACATTTCAGCCAACAGCCAATAATAAGATACATAAAATAACCTGATTAGAGGTTTGTATCTTGATTTTAGTGTACAGACAGCTATAGAACATAAGCTCTAGCAAAAGATTAAGTCGTATTGACCCTTCCTCCCAGAGAAGGATGGCCACCAAGACTGAGATGCAGCTTCAAGGGGACAGCATGCGCAGAGTCTGAAATCCCAAGAGCAAAAGAGAGACATCCCTCTGAGATAACCTCCGGGAAGTAGATTGATTTCTTTTTTATAGATATAGGATCAATTTTAAGAGTTGGTGTCTATTTTAGGTATGAATACATGTGTTTTACCTTAGCATGGCTGGGGGTTAAGTGAGATGAAGGCAGTTAGCAACAGTGAGGCATCTGCCAAAAGCTTCGCAGATCTTTGAACTGGAGCCCTGGGACACTTTAAAATTCATCCTCCATAACATCAGGAGAGTAACAAAATCTGCATAGGTCTGGTGAAGAGTTGGTACCACAGGCACGAGGGGAAGCTCAAGTGTCTTCCAATGACTTTTGATGATGCTGGAGGCAGGAAGGTTTAAGGCTACGCATTTGAACCACCAAGGTCATGGTGTTCTGTGGGACAACAGGCATGAACAGGCACACTGTATTAGGGTACTGGGTTTAGAAAACATTTTAGCAATTTGTATGAATTTTCTTATCTCATTAGGTAAATGTCCAAGTGATGAAACATTAAATGTTTACATAGTGAAATAAGAATATTGCTTTCACTGCTTTAAAGAATATTGCATCTGTGGCCTAAATTTTGAAGTGATAAATTAATCTGAGATTTAATAAATTAATTCTTTAGTCTCATTAATCAATTTTCTGCATGCTTATTTTAGCATGAGATATTCACAATACCAATATTCATGTGTATACTCCTTATTTCTCCTATAGCATTGCTCCTGAGGTTGTTTGTCTTTCTCTTGTTGGCATGACTAGAGTTTTCTAAACAGGAAAATAACAAATTAATCATTAAGGCATTGATCACCTCATGCAAAAGATATGAAGCACTTCAGGGAGAAAAGGCATTAGCAGGTGAGCTATTCAATGGCTTAACAGTCTTGTTTTTCCTACCATCTTTTGTATAAGAACCAGCATTATGTAAACATCAAATTTAAAATTTCTTTGTCCCTCTCTGACTAAGGGAGACAAATTTAAAGGAGGTTTTTGGCTTTTAAATTGGCCTTTTATTTAAGTAGCTCTTGCAACACTCATGGAAAATGAGTGTGTATTTTTTCCCTATATTCCCATGCTTATTTGCAAAGAGAGCTCACTTGTCTTTGTGTTTCAATTGGTTCACTTCCTTAGCACTAGAGGCCTGGCAAGGGGGACCAGAGGAACTACCAGGTATTGTCCAGTCTCTCCTCCTCCTTTCAGGCTATGTACAATAGTGTTTCCCATTCTTGGAAGTGCACAGATTACATTCATTGCTGCTCATTTGCTGCTCTAAATTCAAACAATTTAAGTTGTCTGCTACGACTGGTCAGAAGAATCAGTGCTTGTGTGATTCAAAGGACTGAATGCATCTGGCCAAGCTAATTTTAGTCTTATGAGAAACCACAGGAAAAGTTAGCAAGTTTTCAGAAAAAAAAAAAAGGTACGTTTTCAACTTCTCTTTTTCTGTTATAACATCCAAGTTCCTGCAAAAGCCACCCTAGTGAGATAACAGGAGGAATTTATCACAATCTGTCCAACATTTCAGCACCAGGGTGAGACTCGTATCTGTTCAGATTGTTACATTTCATGTGTCACTGACTTGGTAATTGTTATAATAGTGAGCTGAAGTGCAGAGAAAAAGGGATTTTGATCCTAAGATATGCAGAGGCAATCTGAAAGGGGGTTCCTAAGCCTGTCCTTACTCAGCTTTTCCATTTTGTATAAAATGTTCAAACACTAACAGGGCCAGAGAGAGATTGTGAGATTCCTTTGCAGGCTGACAGCTAAAGCACAGCCAAGAGATGGGTTCATGTTTTAGTGCTTGCTTCTGTGAACAGATAAATAGTTTATGGAAACAAACAGCTTCAGTAAGATAAAAGATCAGAAATTCACATCAGACCAGTAGACCAAGTAACTCAAGTTGACAATATGCTCTGCTAAACCAGCATTTTGCATTACCCAATGCCAGTCATGACATTTATTTGAGTCCCTCTACTTACCTACTGTACCTGGAATATTTTCTAACTCCTTTGCAATAATTTCTAATTTTGAGCATCACAAAAATATTTACCTGTCAAAAAGCACCTGCAAAACCAGTTGAAATCTTAAACTTTGAAGACTTAATATGTATTTCCAGTAGTTCTTTTTTGGTTTGTTTTCACATTTAACTGATAGCAGTTATGAACTCGTTCAGCCTGAGCTGTGTCTACCTTGTATGTTTAGTCCAGGTCATAGTTTGCAACTTGTAGTATCCATCTTAGTGCACAGGCTGGGAGGTGTGAGTCAGCTGGGAAGTGTGATTAAGATCTGAGAAGGAACTGCTTTCTAGACCACATCTGAAGTGTGAAGACAACACCTACTAGCTAAGTGGTAAAAGCCAGCTTCTTAAGCTGTCCCCCAGCTATATCTGTTAATGAGCTCTGATGTCTGATTGCAAGATCAAAAAGGTTGGCCTAAACCACTGTAGCTTGAACTCACAGTTTGACTTGGCACTGTAACCAGCTCTGAACAGTCAGACACTTGTTTTTTGTCCTTTGACAGGCAACACCTAAAGCTGAGATTCAGTCTAAGACACTATTCCTCATTAGTCCTTGGCTACTTATTCCTGCTTCTCAGATGGAGTTTCTATTGACTGTTGCTCTTTCCACACTGTCCACGGTGGAGCACACTCTGCCTCAGACAATCTGGCTCTTCCATGCCCTAGAGTGACCATCACAGCCAGGGTTCGGGGTAGGTGGTGGGTGCAAGCATGTAATGCACACAGATCTGTGGATGTGTGCTTCTGGTGTCAGGAGCAGATGCAGTTTGACAGGGTGCCAAATAGCTGCTTCCTTGAGATACAGAATCATACTCCTCTATGATTGATGAGGCTTTTAATAAAGAAA